AGAGAGAGAGAGAGAGAGAGAGAGAGAGAGAGAGAGAGAGGGAGAGAGGGGTAGAATTGAACCCATGGGTTTTCACATGTTACGCAAGCGCTCCACCACTAAGCTCCAACCCCAGCCCTTTCAAGTCTTTTTTTTTTTTTATTTTGAGGCAGGGTCTCATTAAATTGACTATGCTGGAACAAAACTTTTGATCCTCCTGACTCAGACTCCCAAGTAGATGCAATTATGAGCATGTGTCTCCAGCTTGGGTGTAACCAATATTGGCAAATGAAAGAATGAATGAGTATTTCTCACAGTAACTCTGTGAGGGCAGGCTTTCACTAGTCCCGTTTTATAGATGAGGATGTCAAGACACAAAGTTTACTAATATACAGTCTTTGTGAGATATTCGTATTCTGTTCACTGCTGTACCTCTACATAAATGGAATAGTGCATAGCACACTAAATATTTCTTGAATGAAAATAGAAAATAATTCCATTTACCTAAGCCATAGAACTGTAAGGAGCCCAGTATTCAAACTCAAGTCTAATTAGATCTATGCCATTCATTTATTTTTCTTTTCCATTTTGAAATTGTTTAAGGCCATGGAAGAATTGTAGTAACAGTACCAGAACAGCAACAGTACAAAAACCAATGACCCCTTTCCTGTACTGCTCACACGGCCTGTGTCAGGTGCATTGCCTTTATCTGTTTCCCTGTGTGCACTGTGATGTTTTCTGAACCATGTCTAAGGAAGGTACAGACATCCTGACTTCACCTGAACTCTTTAGCCCGTGATTGCTAAGAAACAACAGGCAGGTTTTATACCTAAGAAAATTAAGATTAGTTCAGATTTCCTTAGCTGTTCACCAAATTACTTTATGGGTTTCCCCCAGCCTGTGTCCCACCAAGGATCATGCACTGCCTTTGGTTGCTGCCTCTTCAGAAGACCTGTCCTTGTAGCCCTGTCCTACCAGTACAGCCCTTGAGAAACGCTTAAATCCACTGCAGCATTTTGTGTTCACAGCCTCATCACTCTGGCCAACCTTCCTCCTTCGGGATTAGCAAATGCAGGAGCAGAGGGGATTCGCTCAGAGGTTAATGTCTACACCACGGAGGAGAACGTCTACACCATTGAGGAGAACTTCTATACCACGGAGGAGAATGTCTACACCATGGAGGAGAACGTCTACGAAATAGAGGATCCAAGTGAGCATTACTGCTCCATCAGCAAGGGGCAGCAAGCCTGACTCCCTCTGGGTTGTTGCCTTTTCATGTTGTTGGTTTCAGCCCCTTCATTGTTCCCCTTGGCATTGATATTTAAAAACCGATAAAGACTATATGCTATACCTTCAGCCTCCTAAAACCCTGCTTCCATTTGCAGAAGATAATTAGCTTATTTAGGAATTCACCTGTGACCTATGCTGACCTTAGACATGTTATTACCTCTGTTTTTCAGCCAGCATGGCTTTCCTACCCAGAGATTGCAAATTCTAGTCTTTAGACATCAGAAGTGCTTTTATACAGAGTGAGACTTTTTTGTTTTGATACTTGAACCCAGGGTCTGGCCCTAAAAAACATTTGAAAGAATTTTGTTCTGAAACAAGTTGTTGCTAAGTCACCAAATTCCCCAGGCTGGGCTCAAACTCAGGATCCTTTCACCTCAGTCTGCCAGAGCGCTGGTATGAAAAGCATAGGCTACGTGCCTGGCTAGGAATTCTTCCGGTCTCTGGAGCTGCAGCAGGTTTGGGCATGTGATGTGTCTAAAAGCTCCTGAGAATAAGGAGAACTGTATGTTGAGATATATGTGTGTCCTGCTAGTATAAAAACACAAAGGGGCCACTGCTTTCCGTCTCTGTGATCTTTAAAGGATTAAGCAGGGCTAGATCGGGACTATCCCATCTTAAAAGTTCCTCCTGAGTTGCAAGGTTCTCGCTTATTTGAATGCTGGGTCTCCACAATGAGCAACACTACACAGCTCTTTTCTGCCAGCAGGTCTATGGTGTGGACGGATCTCTCAGGGACAAGGAAGCACTCTTCGTGATTGTGGCCCTGTTCTGCTGTGTCATGGGGAAATATCTCTGAAAAACTCCATTCATGTAGAAAGCTGGAGCTCTGCTGTTCTCTTCCCCTCCTCTTTTTTCCTGGTAGAAGATGGTAGGGGCCTCCAGGAATTTGTACCATCTGTGTTGATTTCAGTCCCAAGATGACAGAACTATGCTTTTCTGCTTATTTCTGACTCCCCAGTGCCTGGGCTGGTTCTCATGCAGAACAGAAACTGATTCATTGTCTTCAGAAGTAAGACTCAAATAAGCAGGTTACCTTTTGGAGAGGCTGAAGAGCTCAAAAGAGCTTGAGTCTGTACCTTCATTACTTGAAGAGTTTGCAGGCACCCACATCTGCTCTTACTCAGCCACAGCGGCCTTGGTTTCTCAATATGTCTTCCCCTGCAGGCCCCTGATAGGCTGCTGCTCCTCTGCCTGCTCCCTTCCTTCGGGGGAGCCCTCCTAGCTCATAAAGAACACACCAGCTCTGTGGCCCTGTTCCTGCCTGAACACTGCCCCTCTCCAGGTGAGGGCTCCCTTGCTGTTGCGCTGTTTGCAGGAGAGGTGGGTCGTGCAGGATGAGACGGCCTGCTTGCAGGGACTGAGGATTTACCTTAGTGGTTCTGCCTCCTGCCTCGCAAGTGTAAGTACAGGAGGTTGATGCCTGTTACCACACACACACACACACAAAGAAGTTCTTTGCAGTAGTAATACTTTGGTGAAGCCTGCGGACGCAGCTTTTAAGAATGAATTTTTTGTGTTTGAGACAGGGTCAATTCAGACTGGCCATTAACTATGTAGACCAGGGCACCCTTGAACTTGTAGCTAAACTCCTGGTTTAGCTTTGAAAGTGCTGGGGTTGGAGGAATGCACCACCATGCTTGGCAAAAATGAGCTTTCCAACTCACTGCATTTGTCTAGTTTCACTCCAGGAGAAATCCTTTTATAAGAACAAAATTAACACTTGACAAAAACTCGGTTTATTCATTTTATGTGTAAGTCATTCTCCAGTTCAGCTATTCTATTCCTTAGTTTTGAATCTTGGAAAAAAGCCTTAGCATGTCCAATAACTTTGTATAGTTTTCACAAAGATAGAAAGTTTGATGCCTGGTAAATTTGAAGGCTTGCAAGTCTCTGCTGCACATACATTGTTTTTTATGACTGTCGTCCTTTAATGTGGATTGGGATGCTGATTATTGCTTAACTTCATCAGAAGGTTTTGACGCCCTCCTTGCATCTTGTCATATACAAATCCTGCAGTGTTACACATGGACTGAATTTGCACATTTATCTCCTTTCTATGGTTTCTCTCTAGTATGGGCTGTCTAATGTGTGCTGAAGTGTGAATACTGAAAATAGGATTTGACAAACCATACTCATCGAAGGTTTTCTTGAGGATATATTTTGATATGTTCTGAGCCCTGAGTACATATTAAGGTTTGCCACTCTCGTTCCATTTGTGAGGTTTTTTTCCAGTTTGAATTTTTTGGTGAATACTGATGTCAGATTTTCCCCTTCAGGCACTGTATTAGGAATGTTTCTCTGTACTGTGTATTAGCTTATGGTTACTTATGTGTTAAATGACATTTCAAGGCTGGCCTCATTTATTCGACATAAAAATTATTTTTTCAGCAGGAACTTTCCAATGTTTTGGACCCTGAATGAAGACTTCTTTCTGCCTCACTCATCAGCTTTCTCTTCAGGATGAAATTTTCAAGAAATTCCAAGCTAGGAGTTGTCAGGAAAGCCCTTGCCACATTTTTCCAGTACATATTATATGCTATGTTAGGATTATAGGCTTACACGCATAGCCATCCTACACTCACTGAATCTATAAGACTTCTCACCTTTATGAGTTCTCTGGCACGTAAAGTATCAAATTTGACTCCAGATATCCACACATTGATTACATGACTAAAGTTTCCCTCAAGTATGGAATCTCAGATGAGATGCCAGTGAAGAGTTCAGCTGAACACATTGCCACATTCATTACATTTGTAAGGTTTCTCTCCCATGTGAATTATCAGATGTTTTGCAAGGTATGAACTACAACTGAACACTTTATGACGCTCATTACATTTGTAAAGTTTCTCTCCAGTGTGGATTATGTGATGCTTTGCTAGAAATGATCTACGACTAAACACTCTACCACATTCACTGCGTTTGTAAGGTTTCTCTCCAGAATGGATTTTCTGATGACTTGCTAGGTATGACTTGTTCCTAAACACCTTGCCACATTCGTTACAGTTGAAAGGTTTCTCTCCACTATGGTTTCTTTGATGGTTTACTAAGTATGACTTTTTACTGAAGACTTTCCCACATTTATTACATTTATACGGTTTCTCTCCAGTATTCAGTCTCCGATGACTTCTAAGGTGTGATTTTTTTTTCCTGAGTTTATTGTTACTTTTTAAGTACACAGTACACTTACATTCATCATTGGGATCTTGTACCTTTACATGACAGATCTTGGTTCTCTTTTTTTCCCCATACCCCTGCCCTCCCTTCACCCCTTCCACCCTCCTCTATTTACAAAGACTTTGTTTCTGTTTTTCCTTTTCTCATATGTTTTCTTTTCCCCTCCCCTTCCCACTTCCCCTTTAGCCATTTTCTTCCATTTCACACTCTCAATTATACCACTTAAATCCTATTACACTTTTAGTTTTTCACACCAGAGAAACTATTCAGTATTTACTTGTGTGTCCCATTTATTTCACTTAAAAGAGTATAGTCGTAATGTACATCCATTTATCTATAAACGTCTGTAGTTTCTCATTCTTTATGGCTGAGTAATGCTCCATCTTACAGAAAAACCACATCTTCTTCATCCGGCCTCCAGTTAATGGGCATTTGGGTTGTTTCTAAGTTTTAGCTATTACAAACTGTCCCACAATAAAAATGGGTGCATATATATCAGTGTGGTATGATACGATTCTTTGGGAAAGATACCCAGCAAAGGGATAGCTGGGTCAAATGGAATCTCTAATTCTAGTTCATTGAGGTATCTCTATATTGATTTCCACAGTAGTTGCACCAGTCTACACTCCCACCAGCAATGGAGAAGGGTTCCTATCTCCCCACAGCCCTGCCAGCATTTCTTATTGGTTGATTTCTTGGTAGCAGCTATTCTTTCTGGGGTAAGGTGGAATCTCAGTGTTGTTTTCATCTGCATCTCTGGAATGACCAGTGATGTGGAACATTTTTTCATATATTTATTTGCTGCTTTTACTTGTTTGTCTGAGAAATGTCTGTTCATTTCAGATGCCAAGTTTTGAATTGGGTCTTTGTATTGGGGAGGGTCTTATTTTTTTGAATTCTTTATATATTCTACATAGTAGTCCTTTGTCTAAGGAGTAGCTAGTAAAATTTTTTTTCTCACATTGTAGGTTGTCTCTTAGCTATGCTGGTGATTTCTTTTGTATTGCAAAAACTTTTTAATACAATGAGATCCCAGTTGTTGATTCTTTGTGCAAGTTCTCATGCTTTTGAGGATTTGTTCATAAAGTCTTTTCCTGTGCCAATGTCTTTGAGAGTTCTACCTAATTTACTTTCCAGTAAGTTTTTTGTTTTTTGTTTTTTGAGACAGGGTCTCACTAGGTAGTTGAGACTGACCTGGAACTCACTATGTAGCCCAGGCTTGTTTCGAACTCACAGAGATCCTCCTGCCTCAGCCTCCCAAGTGCTGGGATTACAGGCCTGCACCACCAGGCCCGGCTACTTTCCAGTAAATTTAGTGTATTTGTTTTGATATTTAAACTTTAATCCACTTGTATTTGAGTTTAGTGCATGGTGAAAGGGATCTAGTTTTAATATTTCGCAAGTTGAAAGCCAGTTTTTGTTACACCATTTATTAAAGAGGCTACCTTTCCTTTCAGTGAGAATGGTTCGCTCTTTTGTCAAAGATGAGTTAGCTGAGTGTGTCTGGTGTTTTTCTGCATCTTCTAATCTACTCCATTGATCCTTGCATTTGTTTCTTTGCCAGTACTATGCTGTTTTTATCACAGTGGCCTTGTAGTATAGTTTCAAGTTGGGAATTGTGATACCCTCTGCCATGTCTCAGTTGCCTAGAATTCCTTTTGCTATTCTAGGTCTCTTCTAGTTCCAAATGAATTTTTGGATTGTTTTCTCAAGTTCTCTGAAATGTGCTGTTGGAATTTCAATTGTTATTGCCTTGAATCTGTTTAGCAGTTGTGGAAGTATGACCATTTTTACTATGTTAATTGTTCCTATCCAGGAGCAAGGGATGTCTGTCCATTTTCTTTCTCTTTTTTTTGAAAAAAGTTAAAAAATTTTAATAATATTTAACATCAAACAGTTAATTCAACTAGTTCTTTTTGTACACAGTGATAACATCTTCACCAAACTGAGTGCTCAAGGGTTTGATCCATGTCTGGCACACCCCAGGCAAAGACTGAGATCCTCTCTATTTATACGAGGCAGAGCAGGAGCAGCCAGGGAATTGCTCCAACTTGCAGACAACACTCAGGTCCAAAGGAGAGATTCCAAGGGAGACCAGGTTCGTGTAGTTCTCCCACATCACGTCCTTGTATAAGGTCCTCTGGTCACAGGCCGGACATTTCCACTCTCCCTGGGAGAATTCCATCGCCGCATATCTAAGTGTCAACAGATCCTAAATAACAGCCATTTTTGACTAGTCTTTCATCTTCCTCCTCTTCCAGGCTTCCTCCTCTGTTGGATGTGATCCATGCACACAGGATTCTAGGGTTCTTGGGAAAGGTCTGAAGGGTAAATGGAGATGCTGGGGAATATGACCTCCACTCCACAAGATACACTTCTGGGTCTCTGTTGAACGGTTTTTTTCAGAGAGAGGAGGACCCAGATTTCTGTGGGGTTTTAGTGGAAAACCTGTGTGAGGGAGAAGCATGAGTTTCAGGTTTCTGCATCCTCTGTATTTCTGTATCATCCACACTGACTGCCACTATCCAGTCTGCTCTGTAACAGAGACACACCCTGGGCCCACAGATGGCCCATAGGTAGCTAAGACCAGCTTGGCATTTCAGCCTTCACTGTCAGTCTCCTTTGTTACCTTGAAACTTCTGAAAAAAATCGTGCTCAGCTCTGCGGGCATGTTAATCACTTAGGAGGGCCTGATACAAGGTTCATTAGCTCTAAATTTACCAATCCTATCTCATCCCCCTTGCAGAATGGGGACACCAAGATAAGAATGTCTAAAATAACTGTCAGGATTTCCAAGGACATGGCATCCACGCCCTGGGACAATTGCTAGAAGTCTGGGCTATTGTCCTACACCGGAGGGAGGGGCAGGATCACTGTCCCTGACCAGGAGCAGTTAGTTACCCAATGATGGGAGCCAAACTGCCCCTCAGGGTGATGTCTGGCCTAGGACTTTGTGGAACCAGTCCTGAGTCCAAGCAGACTAAAACTTGACAAGGGCTACCTGTCCCACCAGCTGTACAAACCCCAGCTATGCAAACCCCCACTTATCTAAAAATCCCGACCTTCCACCCTCCCCCGAGGCCCATCTGAAACCTTTTGATCTGTACTTCCCTTGGAATCCCTTCAGCAAGGCTCCTTTCCTGTCCTTGCCCATGGCAGGGCTCTTGGTAGCCTTGTGGCTGGGTGGCTGAGCCAGGTCTATGGGACCCGAGAGGCAGGGCTTTCACTTTAAATCTTTTACTTCCTGGTGAATCTCTGTGTAATTTTCTTCCTGCAGTATGACTCCTCCTCCTCCTCCTTCTTTCTTCTTTCTTCTTTCGCTTTGAGGACAGTGAGATTAAAAAGTACTTATTTAAGGTAGTCAGATACAGTAGTGGGATATCTGTTTAAGTGTGCACATTATTATAATAGGGTCACTGCTTTGGGAGTGAGTCACCATTGTGAAATCTTTTATTATAGGTTTCTATTTTACAATCTGCTATATGATAATTTGATACATTTTTCTTCTGTAACATATGTTTTGCATTTCTACTTTTTCATTCATTTTAAACCTAATTCATGTAAATAGAAATGTTTATACTTTAGTACAGTGTTCTGTTTTTGTCTTGCTTTCCAGGTCCTGAGGATTGAATCCAGGACCTTCACTGAGCTACATCCTCAGCCTTTGTTATATTTTTCATTTTGAGTCACTGAGTTTCCCTGGCTTGGCTGGAACTTGTGTTCCTCCTGCCTCAGCCTCTCACAGTGCTGGAAGTACTCTGGTGAGCATGACCATGCTTGGCTTGTAATTTCCATACTGTCATCAGCAACTGTCTTATTCCAACCCAAATTCCTCTCACATCAACAGCAGCAAAAAGAGGGTTACCTTATTTAATGACATCTCATTTATTGCTCCTTCTTAACTTTTATTTTGAAATAATGTGAGATGTACAAACAAGTTGTAAGGACAGTACAGAGAGTTTCTGTATTCACCTGGGTTTGTCTAATGTTAACAGCTTGTGCACTGTGGTTCATTTATCAAAGCTGTGAAGTGGGTACAATACCATTAACTAAAATATAGTTCTTAGGGAATTTTTTTTTTTTTTTTTGTTACCAGGGATGGAACTGAGGCCCTTGTACTTGTGAGGCAGGAGGTGGCATCTCTGAGCCAAATCCCCGGCCCCATAAACTATAGTTCTTACTGGGGTCCTTACTTTGGTTTTTATCATTGTAAACTGAATGTTTTTAGAAAATTACCCTGGGATTTAAGCCAGACCCCAGTCTTCCCAGCTCCATACTCCAGGGCTGATCGTGGTGCTGTTGCTGTGTTCTTTTGAACCCACATTGTGTAGTACAAAGATGGGGGCTACAGGTAGAAAGCAAATGGCATTAACTTTCAGAATATATTTTTTGTAGCCAGGTATGGTGCTGCACACCTGCAATCCTAGCACGCAGGAGGCTGAGGCAGGAAGCCTGAGAGTTCAAGGCCAAGCGGGTCACAGCGTGCGTTCAAGAAGAGTCACGGAACATGTGGCAGGACCTTGTCTGTCTCAAACAATGACAACAGCAGCAAAACAATAACAGCATGTATTTTATTCAACCCAATACATCTGTGTCAGCTTTCTATTGTGGTGACAAAATGCAGGAAATAAACAACTTAAAGGAAGGAAAGATTTAACTCATCGGTTCAAAGCTTTCATTCCCTGTCAGTTGGATTTATTGCTTTTGGGCCTATGGCAAAGATGACCACCATGGCAGGGAGCACATGGCAAAAGGAACTGCTCAACTTCCGGTGACAGGAAAGAGAGGGACAGAGAAAGGGGGAAAGATAGACATACACACACCCGCACACACACACACTGGGCGCTTAACGTGGCCGCCCAGGGCAGCCCCTCCTCCCCTCCTCCCTCCCACGAGGCCTCATGTTTTGACAGCACCCTCAGCTGGCAAGTAAGCTGCCCATACACAAGCCTTCGGGACGCTAAAATTCAGATCAAAGCATCTAAAGTATCAACTTTTTTGAGACAGGATCTCACTAATTAGCCTAGCATGGCCTCACAACAGGTATCCTCCTGCCTCAGCCTCCACACACGACAGGGATCACAGCCCTGTACCACCACGTGATGCTCAGTGGTATATTGTTGTAAAATACTCAAGTGATGCCAAAGTACAAAACTTCAAACTGAAAGTCTCTCATGTCCAGTCTGCTTCCTGGCTAGGTAGGATCCTCTGAATAGTTTGATGAGTTCTTTCCCACGATATTTCTGCATAGACACACGTGCATAGACATAATGTTGTGATTTTGTTACGATGTTTTTACAAAAACCAGCTCCTACAAACTGGCCTTCTTGTGAACTGTTTTTCATTAACATGTCATTGAAATATTCCAGACTATCCCAACAGAATACTGACATTCTTTGTTCATGCATGTGTGTGTGTGTGTGTGTGTGTATAATTTGTTTTTCATTTTATCTTTATTAAGCGTTTTGGTATAGTTTAGGTATATAATACAGAAAGATTCATCATTGCGATCTTGGACCTTTACAAGACTTATCCTGCTTTGTCAACATGTATTGTTAATAAGCAGTCAACATTATATACAGGCACAATGCACCCATCAACATAGTGCCTTGATAGGGGTTTGCACAGAATCCAGCACACCTTTTGAACACTTGCTACTTAGCATGGGAAGTACAGCTTGGTGCCCATGTGTTGTGAGAGGTCTTGGTTTGAGTCTCAGAGGCCCTTAAAAAACTATCCTGTCCCATGTGGTCAAAGCCTAATGCCATTAAATCTCTTTGACCCACCCATCTTCCCCAAAGTGGATATGGTAGAAATATCTTACGTGTATATGACAACGCAGCAGGACTCACTGGTTAAACTGTTGCTTTTGTTCTTTTCAGTACTGGGAATTGAGCTCAGGGCTACTGAGCAACATCTGTGGTCCTTTATTTATTTATTTTTAAAATTTTGAGATAGCATCTTACTAAGTCTGTAGCTCAGGCTAGTTCTAAGCTTGGATTCTCCTGCGTCAGCTTCCTAGAGTTGTGGGATAAAAGTGAAAGTTTTAATTTAGAAACATCTGTGATGTTGTCTTCAATGTCTTTTATCATTATTATTAACTTTTTTCCTTTTTTTTGGTGGTGCTTGTCCTGGGGTGTGAACCTGATGCCTTCCCATTGAGACACACCCCCAGTTCAGCCTCTTGCTAAATGGCCAAGTTGCCCAGCCTAGGCTCAAACTTGTGATTCTTCTGCCTCAGCCTTCCTGAGTGCTGAGATAACAGGCATGTGCCACCACTCTGGCTGCAATGCCTTTAAGGAGGCAATGCACACTGTTTTGATTTTGGGGTCGAGGAAGATGCAGGATCTCCTTATTCTTTGGAGAAACCTCCTGCATTAATCAAGGTAGTGCCCTCTAGCTGCCTGCAAAGAAACTGATCACACCCAAGTTTAACATCCTTGTCCCACACTGTAACTTCAACACTCTGATAGTCTGAATAAGTGCTTTGTTAACATTAGAACAATGTATATAAATCACACTGGGACCTCGGTAGCTTATTTCACTTTTTCAAGTTGTCAGCTTACTTTCCTAAACTTCTGAGGCAAAGACAGGTTTGTTTCTTTGCCTAGAATGTTCCATTCTCAGCAGGCATTGCTCAATAAGTATTTATTTTATTTTATTTTATTTTCAGTAAGTATTTATTAAAATAATGCTTGCTGTGCCTGGCCGGATGGCACACGCCTATAATTCCAGCCGCTTGGGAGACGGAGGGGAACATCAGAAGTTCAAGGTCAGCCTGGGCCACTCAGGGAGACCTTTGCTCAAAGTCAAAAATAAAAGAGAGATTGACCCTTTCTTTAGCTTCACGGTAGAGATGCTTACCTTATTGGGTTCCATCCCCAGTTCTGGGGAAAAGACGTTGTTGAGTGGCAGAACTGTTCAGGAGAAATCCTTAAGCGAGGCTCTCACTTCTGCCTCTGCTCACAAATACCCCTCACCCTCTAGTCCTCTGTTCAGTTCGCTCATCTGTAAACCTAGAGGGCTGCCCAGGTGATCAAAGTCAGTTCCCGCACCAGCCACCTCAGTCTGCCTGAGCTTTCAGGCCGGGGATCACCGAAGATGAGGCTTTGGGACATCTTTTAAAATAGCCCAGCAGATAAGAAACATTCCTTCTAGCCCAGGATTTCCCCAGAATCTGCTTCCATTAGTAAGTGGATAAAATCTCGCAAAAGGATTAACCTGTTGAAGATCTGATTTCCAAGCCTTCTTCCTCCCAGTGTTCTGATGCAGAGGTGTGGCACAGAGATAAGGCGTGGAACTCTGGGAGAAGGCATCTCTGTCCATAAAACAGCTTTGGAGAGAGGGTCAGCAATGAGCAGATCTGGAGGAGCAGAGGCTGCCATCGAGAAGCCGAGGAACTAGCTCCTACCTCACCGGTGAGTCCAGTTGTCTGCCGACTCAGGCCGGGTTGGGAACCTAGCCCTGCTGTCTGCCCTGGGTGTCAATGAGCAGGATGATGTTTGATCGCAGCAATGAGGGGAGGTCCACATAAGCAGTTCCTTGGGTCTGTCGTTGTTTAAATGGAGTAGTAGAACCACATAGCTGCATTATTTAAGCTTTGTGTTAAGGCAGTGCAGCCTGGCAAATCGGAAGCAAAAAACCCCGAGGAAACAGAGCGGTGCCTTTGGATTAAGCCGTATTTCTTGAGGCCAGTATTTATAGGTATGATATAATAATGTGGGAACATGGGTGTCAAGGGTATGGCCATGTTCAGTTTTGCTCATTGACTTTTGTGACTTGTAAAAATATTTGTGAAAAAATTTCGTAAATATTTAACTCACCGAGTCAAGTGTAATTGAACGCTCTGTGAAAGAGGAGCCTCCTATTGGCTGTTGCCCATTCGAGGTCCGTGTTCGAAACTACTGAGGCTGTGAAAGTCTGTGCGTGCAGCAGGCTTGGTTTGGGGGGAATGGAAGGATTTGTCCAGGCTGGGACAGGGGCAGAGGGCCTCTGCAGTTGGGAGGGGCTGGGGAGCCACTGAATAACTTTAAGGTGTGGGAGAGATTTAGAGAAACCCATTACTCAAAACATTGTCCCCTCCCTAAGAAGATTCTCCTACTTCTCCCTGTGAGCAGCAGGAAGTGGTGGTGGGGACCTTGTCCTCTTGCCCTGTGTCCCTCCGATGACCCTCTGCTTGCAGTGGCACCCAGGATCTGCCTGAGTCTCCTGTTGCTTCCCCCAAACCCCTCAAATCTGTCCTATCCTCACTGTGAACTTCTGGTTAATTCCTCTTCTTTTCTTGTTTTGTACTGGGGAATTGAACCCAGAGCCTTTCGAATGAGCTACATCCCCAGCCCATTTTTTACTTTGAGACAGAATGTCTCCAGGTATTTTAAGTTGCCCAGGCTGGGGTTTAACTTGTGATCCTCCTGCCTCAGCCTCCCAGAGAGCTGGGATTGCCGAGATGTGTCAACACACACAGCTACTTTGGGTTGATTTCCTGCTCCATTGAGGAAGCCATCAGCCCAGAGCCCCCCAACAATCAACCTGCTTAGCAGGCTCATCGATTTGGTACATGCGTTCTTGGCTAAGGCAGAACTGCTAGCTGGGCACGTCTCCATTGCTGCAATGCTCAGCAAAATTTCCCTTCTGCACTTCTTTTCTTCTTGATCATTTGCAGATCATACAAACATGTTGTTTTTGTTATTAACAATAAAGTGACTCTACTTCCCACAGCCCTGTCCATTTTTGATCTTTGCCTTCAATCTCATTGACAGCGCTTCCTGTTCCCAATTACTGTCTGGTTTCCTTTTTCAAGATTTTTTTTATATGTTAATTTTGAAATTTTGTGAGAGGGTCTTTTAGTTACCCATTCGAAACCTGAATTTGTGATTTGTTTTCTCCTACCTCAGCCTCCTGAGTAGCTGAGATTGTGCAGTACCACCACTGCAGGTTTAGTTTTGTTTTTCACTATGGTAAACACGTGTACCTTATCAATCTTATATTGATATTCCTGTGGGGTAAGGAGATCTAGCTGTGGTGACAATACGGTGGATCCATTGCCCTCGTTGGCAGGCAGGGGTGGTAAGGAAAGAACCATGAACCAGTCACGCTTGGGTCACCGCGTGTCCCCGGCTGTACAGAAACAGCTGTGCAGTCAGGGCTGGAAGTGCAGGGCTGGCAGCCTAGCACTGTCGTGGAACCACAGCCCTCTGGGCGGGAGCTGTTCACAGAGGGCAGTGCCTCCTGAGGCTCCTGTAACTCAGATGACAAACAGGAGGCCCCTGAGCTGCCCCGTGTGGGCGTCTGTGAGACACAGTGAGGCTGGGGAGCCGGGCCTGGGCCCGAAAATGCAGTTCTGGGCGCTGTGCAGTTGTTTAACATCATGGAGCTTTGGTTCCACGTCCTCGTCTTGCCTATTGGTCATGGTGTCCTCTCCTTCAGACACCTTTCCCCGCAACCCGTATTCCCTCAGTAAGAACTTCATGTGCCAGTTTTTTTTTTTTTTTTTTTTTTTTTTTT